TTACTACATTTCCGAAGATAAGCAACAATGTCCGGAGGAGACGCTGCTGAATTATCATTGGCCGAAACCCTTAAAGCCATGCAACAAACCATGTCGGAAATGTCGCAGAAGTTCTCGAATGTGGAAAAGGTTGTCGACACGTTACAAACATCCCAGGTATCTCTTAGTCAAAACGTCAGTACTATACAAACTCGTCTTCGCTCTTTAAGTGCATGAAACCGTGTGGGTATCCGAAGAAGGATATTCAACTCGCCAAGTTCCATTGCGCGAAATGAAACCAGCTGACAAACAACTCCTGGTGCTACTAATAATGTAGTTCAGCCATTGGAGGAAGAGACACAGCTCGAAGATGAAGTTCAACTTGCAGATCAATACGAGCAGGAAAACCTCGACCAGTTCGAGACTATGAGGAAGGTTAGCCAAGAACTAAAAGAAATGAAGTCAAAGTTCCATCAGGCTACAAGTTCGGAGCCGGATATCAATCGAGTCATTGAAGAAGCTAGGCGAACACCTTTCGTTCCGCGAATCGCAAGTTTAAGAATCAAAGATTCTCGGAAGCTCAAGTTGGACCCTTACAGCGGATTGGAGGATCCAAAAAGCTATCTCGCAGCTTTCCTGATAGCTGCCGGAAGAGTCGAATTGGATGAAGCCGATGAGGATGCAGGGTACTGTAAGCTCTTTTCGGAAAATCTATGTGGCTAAGCTCTAATGTGGTTCACCCAATTAGAGCCGGGTTTGATCAGCAATTTCGACGAACTATCAGCTGTGTTCTTAAAACAATATTCCATCCTTATGGACAAAAGTGTTTCGGATGCCGATCTTTGGAACCTGTCACAAGGATCAAATGAGTCACTTCGAGTTTTTATCACCAAGTTCAAAGGAGTGCTGTCAAAGCTCCCAAGAATCTCGCAGCAATCAGCTTTATCTGCCCTACGAAAAGGATTGCGACATGATTCAAAGTTCAAAGAGGATTTAATACTTCATAAACCAGACACGATTCAGGATGCACTCTTCCGTGCAAACAACTGGATGGAAGTAGAGGACAAAAAAGAAAGTTTCGCCAAAAGAAATAAACAAGAGAAGCCGGCAATCACCGTCCCTATCAAGAAGTTTGAATCTAGGGTGAGCAAAGGACCAAGAAAATTTGGGTCTCAACCCTTCAACGGTATTGTCGGAAAGCAATTCCAAGGAAAAGGAAGGTCAAACACTTGGGTCTGTGATGAAAGTTTATATTGCGATATTCATAACGTAACCAGACATTTAACCAAGGATTGTAGTGTCCTTAAGAGGCATCTCGCGGAGCTTTGGGCCAGTGGAGATCTTTCCAAATTCGATATAAAAGATTTCGTAAAGGAATACCACAAATCAAAGGATAACTCCAAAGATCAAAATTCTAAAAGACCAAAGTTATCCAATGAGGAAGAGCCAAGGAGTTCGAAGGGTAAGATCAATGTGATTCTAGGAGGTTCTAAATTTTGCCAAGATTCGATAAGTTCCATCAAAAAACATAGGCGAAATGTTTTACTCAAAGCAAGTTTGAGTGAAGAAGTCGATTTTCAAGGTGTACCAATATCATTTGACGAAGAAGAAACGCGGCACCTCGAGAGACCTCATGATGATGCATTAGTCATTACCCTGGACATTGCTAATTTCGAAGTATCAAGGATTCTTATCGATACGGGCAGTTCGGTCGATCTAATCTTTTTAAGTACTTTAGAAAGAATGGGAATTAGTCGGGCAGACATAATAGGGCCTCCATCTCCGTTAGTGGCCTTCACAAGTGAATCAGCCATGTCCCTCGGAACAATCAAGCTACCAGTCCTTGCCAAACGGGTGTCAAAGATTGTGGATTTTGTTGTCTTCGATAAGCCCGCGGCTTACAACATCATCCTCGGGACTCCCTGGATTTATCAAATGAAAGCAGTCCCCTCTACATATCATCAATGTGTCAAATTTCCAACATCAAGAAGCTTCACGGACGTGTTATCTAGCTAGCCACCGTATGAAGATTCAATAGCAATTAACGAAGCCCGCAAAAGAGGGACTAAGACCAAAATTTCCTAGCGGGCAGAAAAAAGATGATGTAGTAATCGAAGTGGTGTTGGAAGAAGACAAACCGGACCGGAAAATTCGAATTGGGGCAACTTTGACTAGCCAAATAAAAGAAGCTTTGAACGAACTCTTGAGAAAAAACATAACATCATTCGCATGGTCAGCGGCGGATATGCCCGGCATAGATCCAAGCATAATTTGTCATGAACTAAACGTGGATCCAAGCTTCAAGTCGGTAAAACAAAAAAGAAGAAAGCTCGGAGCGGAGCGAGCAAGAATAGTAAATGACGAAGTGGACAAACTCTTAAAGATAGGATCCATAAGGGAAGTGCAATACCCGGAATGGGTAGCAAACACTGTCGTTGTCAAAAAGAAGAATGGAAAAGATAGGGTTTGCATCGACTTCACAGACCTCAATAAAGCATGTCCCAAGGACAGTTTCCCGCTCCCGCATATAGATCGACTTGTAGAATCCACCGCTGGCAATGAGCTGTTAACTTTCATGGATGCTTTTTCGGGTTATAACCAAATAATGATGAACCCCGAAGACCAAGAGAAAACGTCATTTGTCACGGATAGAGGTATCTATTGTTACAAAGTAATGCCTTTTGGTTTGAAAAATGCATGAGCAACTTATCAACGATTGGTTAACAAAATGTTCCACAATCATCTCGGAAAGACAATGGGAGTCTACATAGATGATATGTTGGTTAAATCGTTAAAGAAGGAGGATCACGTTAAGCATTTAGAGGAATGTTTCGATATTCTCAATAAATATCAAATCAACCTGAACCCGGCAAAGTGCACATTCGAAGTCCCATCCGGAGAATTTCTTGGCTATATAGTGACAGAAAGAGGGATTGAGGCCAATCCAAATCAAATTAACGCCTTTTTAAACATGCCATCTCCAAGAAACTTCAAGGAAGTACAACGGTTGACTGGACGGATTGCGGCTTTGAATCATTTTATCTCGAGATCAACAGATAAGTCGTTACCTTTCTACCAAATTCTAAAAGGAAACAAAGGATTCCTTTGGGATGAGAAGTGTGAAGAAGCTTTTGGGCAGCTTAAGGCATACTTAACTACCCCACCTATATTATCCAAACCAGAAGTGGAAGAAAATCTTTATCTATACGTGTCAGTTTCAAACCATGTGGTTAGTGGAGTCCTGGTCCGGGAAGACCGCGGGGAGCAGAAGCCGATTTACTATATAAGTAAGTCAATGACGGATCCAGAAACCAGATATACCATGATGGAAAAACTTGCA